CGCCTGCTTCCGCGGCCCCGCCCGGGACCGCCGCCCTCGGCTCCCGGCGCGCCTGCCCGCCGGCCCTCTTCACACAGCCGCCCGCCCCTGCGCGCCGTCGCGGCGCGCGGCATCTCGGGGCTTGTAGTCCGGCCCCGGAAGGGCGGCTGTCGGCCCCCGCGGGCGCGCCTCTCGGGCACTACAACTCCCACGGAGCAGCGGGCCGCCTTTCCCGCACCGGCCGCGTCGCGGCCGCTCGCGGAGGGTCCGCCTGCCGCCGCGGGGGAGGGCCGCAAAGATGGCGGACGCGGCCGTGGGCAGAGACAAGGGCGCCGAGCAGCGGCTCGTGTCGCTGCCCCTGTCCCGCATCCGGGTCATCATGAAGAGCTCCCCAGAGGTGTCCAGCATCAACCAGGAAGCCCTGGTGCTCACGGCCAAGGCCACGGTGAGGCGGGCCGCGCGGGCAGCAGTGCGGTCGGGGTGGGGCCGCCCGGAACCGTCGCGCCCCGCCCCGACCCCACCCTCCGGGTCCGCCGCGCTGCGGGATCTCCCCCGCGGCCCGCGCGCCGTCGGCTCCCCTTCTCGGGCTCGCGCGTGCGCGCATCCTGCCGCGGGCCACCTCCCCTCCCTCCCTCCCTCGGCGCGCGCGCGCGCGCGCCCCAGTCCCCGCGATCCCTCCCTCGCTTGGCTCCGCCCACGACTCCCGCCCTGCCTCGCGCGCCGCTCCCGCCCTACCTCGCGCGGGGGTGCCTGGGCCGGGGCGCGGGCGGGCGTGGCCACTTTTTCCTCCCCACGTCGCGGGGCTAACAGCCCGAAGCCTACGCTTTCCTCGCTTCCGGCTCGTTTCGTGGCTTCGGGGCCCCACCTGCTCAAACGGTCCGTTGAGAGGGCCCGGGCGCCGTCCACGCGGGCCCGCGGGCTTCCGGGAGGAAGGCCCGGCCCTGCCGCCCACCCACCCGCTCCCCGCATCTCCGAGGCGGGCCGTCCCCGGGCCGGAACGGAAGCAGTTCCATGAACCTTAGTTACGCCGCACCCTCCTAGGTGCGAAATGAATAAATGTCTCTCGATTTGGTCTTGACAGCGTTATGCCAGAACCCTTCCTATTACACCGGCCGCATTTACACTGCAATCTTAAATTGGTTTAACTTTTCTTAGATTGTTTCCCAAACCCCTCCTAATCAAGTGCATTGTCCCAACAATATTGGACTAGAGCTAAGGAAAGTGGGAGGTCACATTTCTTGCCTGCTTTACGCCGGATATTAGTGCCATGCTTTCTTAGAGGCCAGCAAAATAATTGCCTGCTCAGTATGTAATCATGGGATATGTGTGTTTCCCTGTACAGTTTCGTAAGTTAAGACTTATTCAGGAACTTTCATCCCTTGGTAGCCACACAACACGGGGTTAGAGTGAAAACACTGAGAGAGGCTTAGTCCAAGTCGTCGCTTTAGGAAAGGTGCATGGGCGAAATGTGAAATGTGGTCAATTTTCAGCTTCAGGTTGATTATTACAGTTGTAGGCGGACCATTAGACGGTGTATGAAGTGTATTGAACTAAAAATGTGTTCCCAAGCCACATAAAATTTCTGATTGGTCTCTGGCTCCTTTTTACTGTACAGATTTACAGACTGGTTATTAAACATTGGTGACTCATTGTTTAATTATTAAGTATCTTTCATAAATTAGAAAATCTGAAACAAACCCTGGGGAAATGCCTGCTTCTCTGCCAACTTCGATACAGCTTTTCTTTCTGGTCTTACATTTCTCCTTTTCCTAGTGATTACTTTGAGAAACCAAAATAATCTGTAGTCATCTAAATTTAACATAAAAGTTGTAGGCGGACCATTAGACGGTGTATGAAGTGTATTGAACTAAAAATGTGTTCCCAAGCCACATAAAATTTCTGATTGGTCTCTGGCTCCTTTTTACTGTACAGATTTACAGACTGGTTATTAAACATTGGTGACTCATTGTTTAATTATTTTTAAGTATCTTTCATAAATTAGAAAATCTGAAACAAACCCTGGGGAAATGCCTGCTTCTCTGCCAACTTCGATACAGCTTTTCTTTCTGGTCTTACATTTCTCCTTTTCCTAGTGATTACTTTGAGAAACCAAAATAATCTGTAGTCATCTAAATTTAACATAACTTAGTGTTCCAAGCCCTGTGATAAGTTTTCAAAGCAACACTTCCCATTTTACTTTTTCGTTCTGTTTTAGGAACTCTTTGTTCAGTATCTAGCCGCCTATTCCTACAGACACGGCAGCGGAAAAGAGAAGAGAGCGCTGGCTTACAGCGACTTATCAAGTACTGCAGAAGAATCAGAGACGTTCCAGTTTCTCGCAGGTACTTAGCCTTTGAAACATTCTGGTTAAAAAAATGCAGAGTCATTTACACCCCCCTTCCCCCTCACCCCCGACCGCTTTCACTGAAATAGACATTTGCTGCTTTCTCTGGGCCAGAGTTTACCGTGACCCGGCACTGGAAGAATTCTTAGTTTTGCCTGTTTGAGTGTTTGTAATGTGATTCACCTGGAACAATAATGCCATCAACCACCTGCATGAACCCGGCAGGCCCATTCTCCCAGACCCCTCCTGGCCACCGAACAGGCGACTCTGGACTGGTCTGCTTGCCCCAGAAAACAGCCAGCGGCGTGGGGCCACAGCCAGAGCGAGCCTGAGTGCCCCTTGGGGCCAGTCGGTCAGTCCCACCCGCACGGAGCGGCGTGGTTTGCAGGCCGCGTGACGGCATTAGTCAGGGGACGGTGCTAGTTCCCTATTTCACCCACAAGCATAGTCTGAATTACGTCTTGTTTTGGAACCTATTCTAGAGGTCAAAACAAGAACTGACACGTTTTGAAACTCGCATTGGGGTATCATGGTCTGCCATAACCAATTGCTGACGTTAGCTTTATGTTTTTAAGATATATTGCCAAAGAAGATTTTAGCTAGTAAATATCTGAAAACGCTTAAAGAGAAGAGGGAAGATGAGAATGACAACGGTGAAAGTGATGGTGACGAAGCAGAATCCTGAACATTAAGGAAGTGCTTTAAAAACCGGCCCGGTGAGGACCCTCTTGGATTAGCTCTGTTGCTTTGAAGCAAGCAGTACTCAGCACCGTCAGTGACACTGTGACTTCAGTCTCTTTTCAGAGCCTTCAAGTGCATTGTATTCTTTCCTGGCTGAGACAGAGCATCTAATGCACCTACCCCGTGAACAGCCAGAAGGAAGGTAACCGCCACAGGAGCCTCATCTGACAGGCGCACGCTGCAGTCACAGGGTAGCAGGAAAGGGCTCCCTGGGAGCTGGACATTGTCATCTGCTGCAGCTATAAGCCATAGAGGCAAAGACAATTTTAACTTAATTTAGAAATAGATTTTGAAGGCCTCTAAATACCAGTTGTGTAAATCACGTATGTGTATTTTGAAATTCTTGTAAACAGCTCCAGTTTTAGTTAAATGTATAGTTTATGGGTAGTGTGTTACATTTTAATTTTTATAGTTCAAGGAAATTTGACTATTTGTCCAAAACTTATTTTTTAACTATAGAGAAATAAAATTTTTTTAAATTAAAATCTGTACATATTTTTACAGTAATGAACTTTGGAACTAGTTTTAGAACCCTTTTTTATTCTTAACACCTTATTACCTGAGACTGTGAAATTTAAAATTGAGCTTTTCTGATGCTTATTCTGAGAAAAATGTCAAGTGAAATTGTTAAATCAACTATAAGAATATAACTTATGCATAAGCATATTTTCCTTAATTTCATATATTGAAAATCTCTCATTTTCCTATTGTTTCTTTACACGCATAGTAATTGTTTTTACTGCCCATAAGAGAAATGGTTCCATAAGCCCAGTTTTTTTTTCCATATAGGCTAAATTTTTGGCTTTTAAAATCATTCTTTAATGTCCAAACTGTAGCATGTATAAGCAGTTAACATACAGAAGTTCCATCACCCCAAGTATTCCCCTGTGCCCTGCTAGGAGTTAGTCCCTTAGAGTACTAGGCAACCACTCATGTTCTCTATCCCTTGTTTTTTAAATTTTAAAATAAAATATTTAAAAACCTGCTTTTTTTGGTGTGTAGTTCCAAGTTTTGACTAATTCAGTGTCGTGTAACCACTCTCACAATTAAGATAAAGCAGTTCTGTCACCCCCTCCAAATTCCCTTATGTCACACTCATTCCTGTCCTTACCTTGGCCACCACAAGCTGTTTTCTGCCCTTATAGCAGGGGGCAGCAAACCTTTTTCTGGAAAAGGCCATACGAAAAATGCCTTCAGTTCTGTGGGCTACAGTTGGTCCTGACAACCGAACTCTGCCGCTGCGCTTCAGAAGATAAACAAAAAGGAACAAGTGTGGCTCTATTTCAATAAAACTTTATTTCTGGATACTGAAATTTGAATTTTACATAATTTCCACAGTTCATGAAATACTCTGATTCTTTTCAACCTTTAAAGAACATCAAAACCATTCTTAGCTTATAGATAGACCACACACAGATAACAGTAGGCTGGATTTGGCCTCAGACTTCCAGGTCCTATCAGTGGAATCATATAGTTTGTAGCCTTTGAGTATAGCTTTTTTATATTTAGCATAATGTGTTTGAGATTCATCCATGTTGAACTGCGGTACCAGTTGTCCATTCCTCTTTATTGCTGAGTAGGATATCCATTGCATGGATATACCAATTTATCCATCTCCCCAGCTGAAAAATAACTCCCAATTTGGGTTGTTCCCAGTTTTGATTACAAATAAAACCCTATAAACATCTGTATATAGGATTTGTGTGAACATGGGATTTCTTTTCACTTCAGTATATACTTAGGAATGGAGATGTGTGTAAAGTTTATAAGAAACTGCCACCCTGTTTTCTAAAGTGGCCGCTCCATTTTGTATTCCTGCCAGCACTGAACAAGTGTCAGTTACTCCACATCCTCTGCGATACTCAGTACCAGTTTGTTTTAAAATCAAGCCATTTGAGTGGATATAGATTTTAATTTACATTTCCCTAAGGACAAATGATGCAGATACCATCTATATATTTTCTGTGGTGAAATGTCCAAATTTCTTGCCCATCTTTTTGTTGGCTTTTCTTGTTGAGTTTAACATATTCCTAATACATTATTGTTTGCTACATCATGGGATTTACAGATATTTTCTTCCAGTGTGTGATTTATCTTTTCCTTAGCAGCATCTTTCAAAGAGCAGGAATTTTTTTGATAAGTTCTTGATTTTGATTAAGTCCGGTTTATGTTTCTTCCTTTGGAGATCATGCTTGACATCTAGAAACTCATCATCAAACCTGAAGTCACAAAGATCTTGATGTCAGTACCTTTTAAGTGAATGGTATGGTCTTGCTTACAGTAATGTGACATTGAGAAATCCGCAGGGGACATACTCACTGGTTGGTTGTGACCAGCACACACATCCTCACCCGTCAGAAGCACTTCAGATCCAGTTACTTCGGGAGCGCTCATGGAGGGCCTTCCTTGAACCCCATGCTGCCCTATGACAGTCACTTCCTAACTCGTTTCCTCCCCATCTTTACAGCGGCTCTTTTCCTTCCACCTTGCATGCTGCTGTCAGGTTATCAGAACAGTTTTATGAAGGTTCATCTCCCTTTCCTGGTCAGATGTTTTTAAAAAACAGCCGATACTGGAGAAGCCACTGGGGGGCCAAATCTTTTCTCTGTGCATTGTGTAGTTTCATGTAATCCTCATGTCAACTTATAAAGTCATCCACATCTTAAGAAAGGGAATAGAAATTCATGTGAAGGAACCACCTGCAGTCGTGGAGTGGGGACAGAAACTGACTACTCTCCATGGACCATGCAGCTGAACAGTGGTTTCTCCCCACTCTCGAAGGTAAGTCCTTAGCATTCAAGCTCCTTGATACTGACCTTTATATCCTGCTTTCCTCTATTTAACCTTCCATTCATACTAAAATGGTCTTCTTACCCTTCATGGAACAAAAACATCCTTTGTACATCCTCTGACCCAGGAGCTTTCTTTTCTGAAATCTTTTCCTACTTCGTATCACATGCTCTTTTACACTCAGGTTTTTTCCAATCAGATCATGACAGCTATCAATGTTGTGATTAAATTTTTCATCTCTTTTATATTTTCTATAATGAGCACATATTCTTAAAAATAAAAAAACAGCTTTAAGCAGGAACACAACCTTGGCTTGTGTCAGTGACAGTGTGCACCCTAGGGGTTTCCAGCCATTTTTTGGCTTTCTTAATCCAGTGTCCTTTCCCTTCCCAGTACCACGTGGTCTTTTCAGGACAGACAGTGGAGTCAAAGCCAGCCCAGAGGGGCCACCAGGGATTTCAGAGTGGTGCCAATATGTGCAAACACAGCCAGGGCAGAGGGGGTCAAATGACCCACCAGGCCAAGAATCTGGTGGTCAGCTCTGATTCCCACACAACGTGGGGCTCATGGCTTTGCACCTGACAGGTTTAGTGGAATGGCTTTTTATTTCGCACTTCCTCATCGCTGCTAGAAACACCCAATCATTCTAGATGCCACCTTCTGTTCTTCTAATTCATTCCTGTGGTTTTCATCCCAAACCCCAAACTCTCGGGTGATGCCGAGCTCTGTTGGGGATACTGTTCAAGGACTAGGCACAGTGCTTGTAGAACAGGTCCCTAGGCAGCCACCGCTGAAGGCACACGCCCACCTCGGAAACCTGGAATTGGAGCCTCTGCAGAAGGAAGGACCCAAGTAAATGCGAGTAACTGAACAGCTTTGGGAGAAGCCACTGTAAATACGAGGAATTTTATTTTATTTTTTGCTGACATACTATGAGGCAAAACAAAATTGACACCATACAAAATAACTTTATAAAATATCATTCACATCGTATTTTATCAGATTTACAGCATTCTGTGCATGTTAAGGGTTATGTAAGGAGGTGAAAAAAACACTATGCCAAACTTTTAGTATTAGTTTATATACACACAATAAGAAACAAAACAAGTAACTGTTAGGTTTTCCATGAATTTATTGCAAAAATAGTGCAAACTACTTAACCTAGTAAGCTGTCAAACAAACTCGAAAGGACCCAGCTAAGCTTAAACACGACAATAGATGCTCAGTGTCTCAGCCTTTAGCTTTCTTCACCAGTTTATCTTTTGTCAGTCAGGACCACTCCCCATCCGTTCAGTTTCGGGTGAGTGCCGGGGAATGGAGAAATGTGAAGACCGGCTCTTCAGAGAGACCAGGCCGATCTGGCTGCCTAATGCCAGCAATACGTTTAGAATCATGCTGCTTACTCAATGCTGCTTTTGTGAGGTCTGTGTTGAAAAAAGATGCCATGGTGTTTTAAGTCTGACCTTAGAAATAACTTACCCAGCCGCTCGGTGACATGGAGAAAACAAAGCAGCATGAGCAGAAGGGGCCGGGACACCGCTGCCTGCTGGTAGCATGGTACCCTTTTCCTCAGGTGTACGTAGGTGAAGTATTACTCTACTGGTGGGCAGCCTTTGAACCAGATATTGCAGTAAGATTAAAAAAGGAAAAAAAAAAACACTATCCCTACAAGAGTGACTTTAAAATTTCTGTCAACAGTCCATTGGGGTCCAAAAAGCATATATCAAAACAATAAGAGCAGAACAAAATGCTACATACAAAAGCTAACAAAACAAAATGCAGCATAGTCAGGTTCTTTTTCTTGAGGTACCTATATAAATTTAATCACCTGCCCCAAAGTACTCGTTTAGGTAAAAAAACCAAATGCTTAATAGTGAGCCAATTGTAGGGCATTTATTATTACTGAGAAAGTGCAACAACGCTGATTTTCATATGCAGCATACTGACGGATGATGTACTCTTTACAAAATACAGCTTAAGTATCAACCTGATGGAAGTTTAAAAATGAAAAACATTTAACTAGAATCATCCTATTGTTTGAGATCCTGCAGCAAAAAGCCTCCCAAATCAACTTTCAAAGTTTTGCCACTAAGGAATGTTATTGGTTCTCTTGTAAAACCCAGAAATCTCTTTAAAATAGTAAAACTATATACTACAGGAAAGTTCCCTAGTTTTTCTTATTGGTATAAAATCAAATTTTTAAGACTCCAAAATATTGTTACCTCCAAAGAATTAAGTTAAAAAAAGATCGCCATAGTAGGAAAAGTCTAGATTTTAAACTGCCAAATACAAAAGCATGGAAAGTCATCGATCTCTTATTTTTTCCCCTGCCAGGAAGCTTCCCTAACTTACGGAAACCCTGGGGCTGCTGTGGGATGCAGGCCTCCCCCCTTACCATGAGGGCCTCCCCTTCCTCTGCCGATGGTCCATTCGCTGCTTATGAAATAAGCCTAGTAAAATAATGCCGAGGAAGAGGGGACATGAATGGCAGAAAGTGCAGTGAGGAGGGTTACCGGCAGTTGATTCTGGCGGCCCCTCCATTGGCACAGAAAATGAAGTGCTGGCTGGAAATATATGCATCAAAGAGTTTGGAATTCGTAAAATGTTACACTTGCTCTTGGACATACTTTTCTTTTTTCCTTTCATAAGAGGGCAGTTGGGATTCCAACGTATGTCTGTAGCTGGCTGGGGGTCACCTATCAAGTTCCATGGCCAATTGAGCTTTCCTTCCCACCTGCAACATGAAATACTTAATTTCATACTGATATTTTCAATGCATTAGGATTCAACACAAAAGGCACAAAATAAATAAAAAATGTTATTAAATAAACAGAAATTGTGATTTCAAGCTTCGTGCGGAGTTACATCTCACTGTTTGGTTACTTTTTCCAATTTAATTTGACAGACTTAGTAAAATAGCACCCAACTGTTTAACTGAGGTAGATCCACATTGTAGAGAAAGCTGGGTCCCCTCCATTCCATGTCTAAATTTAAGATGCTTTCACAAAAACAAAAATCCATGTAATCGTATGCAGAAGCCATGACAGGTGGCACTACCTGAAGAAAGCTTAGAACATGAGGTTTGCAAATAAGATTTATGCCCAAATCATACTCTCTGTCAGCCATAAATAAACCTCAGGCTGGAGGAAAAAAAAAAAGATCAAACATTTAAAAATAACCCTGAAAAAGTCTCAAG